GAAATTACTTCTGGAGAAAGAGGTGTCCTAGTTACTATGATATGGTGTATTGATGCTGCTGGAAGTACTTTGCCTTATTTGTTTTTCCGAGGGTAAATTTCAAAAGTCACATATTGAAAGTCGCTTTACCTGGTGCAATCGGAGATGCAAATCCGAAAAAAATAAGGTTATTTTATTGTTAGACAACCACGAAGCCATGTTTTAAGCTTATTATTCCTTCGTATATGGCTACACATTATTGGTTGAAGATGAAATGGAATATACAACTAACATCAGCGATATTGTACAAAAACTTCCTCAAACACGTGCACAAGGTTCATCCTCTCGGCAATCAAACACATTTATCTTTCCAGTATCTTTTGAAAATATTAATTTAGTGTAATCTGTGTATTAATTGCAGTTTGTTTTTTCAATATTATATTAGGATGTATTTTTGTTTTTCAGATTATATTCTGGTTGTAAAGGTGCTTCACCTCGTGTCCCTAGGAACAAACCGGTTCTACCTAGATACACTTACGTACATATAAAAAAGTGCTGGAAAGGTAAGACATATAAGTAGGAAAATTTGCATTTTCGAGTAAGCTTTACAAATATATGATCAACAGTCCAGATTTTTTAATTTTTTAATTTTTTAATATCTTTGTCTAATTTATAAAAATCAAATTGTAAAAAGTGTCCCTAGGAACAACACTCTCCCCTACTTTTAATTTAATAAGACCATGGTCTCGTATAGATGTAAATAAACCTCTTTGTTTTATTACTCATATATTTCTCCAACTGTTGGCGAATGAGTTAAGAGAATATTATCAATTACACCGTTCCTATTGATTATAGATTTAACTGATTAAACATGAACTGAGTATTTTCAATTATATTGTTTCTACTGTATATGAATTTAAATGTTGATAAGTGGATAAATAAAATACTTTCAATTGTATTACGTTTAGTGTACATCGATTTATCAAATGAGTTGAGAAATTATTGTTATTATATCACTATTTCTCTTTTGAGCAAATAACGTCTGTATAATTTAGTGCTCATCAAACAAATTGAGAAAATATTTTTAATGTAATATATCCTTCACATTTCTATTTCTATTAAATTCAATTAAAACTAGGTATGACTTTTATTTCGCAGAATATCTTGACAATCTCTACAAATGTCTATTTGCAGGTTTACCTATTTATGGTTTAATTATTTATATTTCATTCACTACGGTTTCTGAAAACTTTTTAATCAAATAACACCAAACTTTTAATCCATAAAAAATTCAGTGGCGCATACATATGGTTTAAATACTCTTTTTGTTTTTTTTTTGTTGTATTCCATTTAAGTGTACCTAATGTTAATTTAAAATATTTAAATTTAAAGATAGCAAATCCTTACTTACACCCTTATGCCACCGATGGTAGATCTTCTGTGCTGTGTATAACCTACACCCTTCATCAAGAGAAAAAAACTAAAAATCGACCTAAAGCTACCATTTCGCAAGCCGAGACAGATACGACTTCAAAACGTGCCGCGACAGCAAGCGAGACACTAAACGGTCGCTTCACGTCTGAACCCATGCAATTCTAAGAAACACATTTTGGTAGAGGCGACAGACGACATCAGATTTAGTATGGCAATATTTGCCGCTTCACTGGTGTCTGGGTCTTCTGACATTTGTCGCGCGTTCCCAAATGGTACCTTTAGAGTCTTCAACTGAAATGAAGTCAAAGGTAAAGGTAAGATTATGTGGGGATCACGATGTCGCCACATATCTCTACTTCGTACATTATTTTTATCCACTCTACCCTATTTTTGTATTTGGATTATTACTCTGTTGTTGATAGTGTTCTAATTTAATCTTCTATATTCTCTCATCATCTTTCCTTGGTTTTATTCGTCTCTTGGCAACAGTGGAATTATTGTGTTATTTGTTTTTAACAATTCTATAGGATTTATCGTCATTATATGCCCTAGTCAAATCAGACCATATTTTTATGTTAATAATAGTTTCACCCCCAAGGTTGTTTTATATTGATTTTTGTCTCCTATCTATTAAATTTTAAACTTTTTTGTAGGTCTTCTTTTTTATTTATTGTTGCTATTTCGAAGGCGTACATTGGGTCTTATTAGTGTAGTTGGGTAGTGTAGAAAATGTATACTACGGGCCTATTTCACGTATTTTTAAACAGTCATTGCCGTCGTACAATGAAATTTTTTTTCATAAAATGTGCATAATTATTTCATTTGAACATGCAACATCCTTTGCTTTCATAAAAGATAATTATAATGATTATATCACGAAATTGTTTTTTCTATTTACTTTACGAGCTTACTTTGGTTCGCGTACAAACGTACCTGCCGTAATTTCATTAAGTAGTTTGTGGATAAACATTCATATTTTTTCTTTTAATTCGAAACGAACCTCATAAAAATGTTAATATGACGTGGTGAAAGGATGTTTTCATGAACATTGTTTATGAATATATAGTATGCGAGCATGTTTTTAGTTTTGTTTGTTTTATATGTATTTTCATTTAGAAAGATTGTTACGAAGCAGTTTAGGTTTCCTTATCGTTCATCATACTTTATAAACTATATGGAAAATATAGAAGGATACTACTCGACTTAAAAAAAATAGTTTTATTCTTCTTTTTCTTCTTCTTCTTCTTCTTCTTTTTCTTCTTCTTGTTCTTCTTCTTTTGCTTCTTCTTCTTCTTCTTCTTCTTCTTCTTCTTTTTCTTCTTCTTTTTCTTCTTCTTTTTCTTCTTCTTCTTCTTCTTTTTCTTCTTCTTCTTCTTCTTCTTCTTCTCTTCTTCTTTTTCTTCTTCTTCTTCTTCTTCTTCTTCTTCTTCTTCTTTTTCTTCTTCTTCTGCTTCTTCTTCTTCTTCTTCTTCATCTTCTTCTTCTTCTTCTTCTTCTTCTTCTTCTTCTTCTTCTTCTTCTTCTTCTTCTTCTTCTTCTTCTTATTCTTCTTCTTCTTCTTCTTCTTCTTCTTCTTCTTCTTCTTCTTCTTCTTCTTCTTCTTCTTCTTCTTCTTCTTCTTCTTCTTCTTCTTCTTATTCTTATTCTTCTTCTTCTTCTTCTTCTTCTTCTTTTTCTTCTTCTTCTTCTTCTTCTGCTTCTTCTTCTTCTTCTTCTTTTTCTTCTTCTTCTGCTTCTTCTTCTTCTGCTTCTTCTTCTTCTTCATCTTCTTTCTTCTTCTTTTTCTTCTTCTTCTTCTTCTTCTTCTTTTTCTTCTTCTTTTCTTCTTTTTCTTCTTCTTCTTCTTCTTCTTCTTCTTCTTCTTCTTCTTCTTTTGTCTTTTTCTTCTTCTTGTTCTTCTTCTTCTTCTTGAAAATTAATATTTATAATGAAAATGCAAAAACAGTATTGGCAACAGTTTTGTTGATCAGTTTGTAGCAGATAGTTTAAATCATCATTTTAAGTTAATAGGTTAAATTATATTAGGTTTATTGCAGTTTTATGTAGGACGTAACTGAAATTTTAACTGGACGTAAAATAGGAATATGCACTGTAAACATTTTTTTTTGCAGTTAACAAAGTGATTAAGTGGAGACCGGGGCAAAGAAATCCCTTTAAGGATTGCTGTCATTTATTTTTATTATCGTAATATCTCAAATTATTTTTTAAGAGCATACATTGAACTTAAGTAATGTTCAGTATCTTTACAAAAAAGGATTATTTTGCCCACTACCTATTCAATTTATAAAGAAAAACAAATTTTTATATATATTTTTTTTTTATAAAGTAGAAACATGTATTATCAACTGAATAAAATAAAAATGTATTGAATAATATATCGCGGGTTCAGAGCGAAAACCCGATAAGTAAGAAAATTTAGTTATGAAGATATCGGTGTTTAAAGATTTTATTGATCTTTTGCCCCTTCTTTTAATTTCATATTAAATGTTTTTGATAGTTTACCTCTATCAATTTGTTGTAAATATTATATCGATTAAACGGATTACTTTCATTTTTTTTTCTAAATTCAAATTTGCTTTAGTTTTACCAAAATTAAGACATTTAGGCACCGACTTATCGGGTTTTCGCTGTACTAATTATTAGATAATTTCACGGAATGATCAGATAAGTTATTATCATGTACTAATTAATATAATAAAAAGTCTGAAAAAACTTAAAAGCGAGTAGTTATCGTTTTTATCCTACTTACCTAGTTTAAAAAAATTAAGTTCTAAAGATTTTTTCTAAGTAATTCCGTTCACAATCAAATAAAAAACACACCGGGGAAAAAATTTATTTAGGTAAAAAAACAAAAGAAATAAGCTAAAAATTACTTAACTTAGGACCGATTCCACCGTTGTGTTAAACGGAGTCTAAAATGATATTTTTACATGACAATGTCATTTTAATCTCCGTTTAACACAACGGTGGAATCGGTCCTTATAAAACTTAACTAAAACAAGGAAAAAGATACTAAAGAAATTAAAATACATTTGCTAGTAAATAATATAAAATTTAAGATTCTTCTTCTGATTCGGGCTCATCGTTGACGTCTAGGTCCGGTATACGATCTACAATATCAGTTGATGATTTTAACTTGTTGAACCACTCTTCAGGAATTATTTCTTTTCGGCAGTTTTAACAGATCTTTTTTTTTGCGTTACTTATTAGCAACTGCGAGTCATATAAAAATGGAATTTCACTTGGAAACTCAAAGTTATTTGCCGTAGGTACTTTATTTTTTTTCCATTGTTTTCTGGTTCTAATTGACGGTGAATTCTCGAAATTTTGATTGGTGTTGGAAATGGTTATGGTTTGAAAATTAGTAGACATGTCATAATTATAATAAATTTTATTTGGTTAGTCTTTAAGATATTTCAGCCTTTTTATTTTCAACCAGTTCACAGTTAGATTGTTGTCATCTCGTGTTCTGTTTTTAATTAATTTGGCTGCTAATGATTTAAGATCAAATATTTAAATTCCTTTACTCTATATGGCAGTACTGTATGTTTCACGTCATTGATAGTTTTTATTTTCTTTCTGCGAGCTTGTTGAAAAATCTTTTTCCAGTCGTTTACGAAATAAATGGAAGAGTGTTTACTAGCTGCTTCTATCGCCGAATGTACACTGTCGCATTCCATATAAGAATGGCCGCTCTCTAGAAACTTCTGTTCTATGACATCAATATGTTCTATTTCTGTGGCAGACCGGAGTAGAGTCCCGTTTATACCTGCTATAATGACGGTCCAAAATTTAGATAGTTGAGTAGAGTCCAGGGTCAGATTAAGTCATTAAAGGATTAACTACCTATATTTTGAATTTGAATATTTAGTATTATCTATTATTAATATTTTAATAACTATTTATTAATTTTTTATGATCATGACAATTACAAGTTGATTGTTCCCTTTCTACATGCCCAAAAACATGCAAAAAATAAAAATATTCAATTAGATCTTTTGTTTATTACAGTTTTAGTTTAGTTTTGCTACTAACCGACAAGATTAAATCATGAGTGCATTAAAGTTTATACTTAGCGAGAAAGGAAAGGAGCTTTTAGTGTTAGATAGATATAAATATCGTTTTCACAAAGAACTATCTGGTGGTATTAAACGTTGGGTGTGTTCTGTAAGTGGAAATAAAAAGTGTACGGCCTATTTGAAGACAGAGGGAAAAACAAACATAATAGAAGTTGTCGACAACAATAACCACCCACCACTTGATGAAAAAATTCTTAATATGAATGAAGTGAGCAATTCCCTATAAAGAAAAGCCTCAGAAGATTTAAGTGAGAGACCTTTAAAATTAATTCACCGAGAACTAAGGAAAGGAGATGTCGAAACATTGACTAATTGCGATGTCAAATGTATTAGAAATAACATATACAACTCTCGAAGGAGCTTTGTACCAAAACTTCCAACTAATCAACAAGAAGTTCACAATGTTCTCAATTCCTATCCTGTTATGATAAATCGGGGCGAAATTTTTCTTCTGGTAAACGACACAGAAAACAATATAATTATGTTCTTATCAAAAAAGAATTTAGAGTTCTTGTGCACTTTAAAATCCATATATGTGGATGGGACATTCAATTGTTGCACCAAATTTTTCCTTCAAATGTTCTCCATTCACGGATTAGCAGGTGACCATTATGTACCTCTAGTCTTTTTTATACTTCCAAATAAGCAAAAGAAAAGTTATATGTTGGCGTTAATGTATGCAATACAAGAATGTCAAAAGATTGGTAAAATATTGGGACCAACAACTGTAGTGGCAGATTTTGAAGAGGCAATCCACCAAAGTGTGCTAGAAACTTGGGCGAAGACAAGTATTGTTGGATGTAGATTTCATTTGGGCCAATCATGGTAAGTTATTGATAAATATTTCAATGACTAGGCTTAGTTTAATAATGTTTTGCTAGGTTTTGTATCTCTAATACTTATTGATTTTAAGGAAATTAAATTTTAAAAATAGAATGTCCTTATAATTAAGTATTAGAGATTTAAAATATTATTAGGAAAAAAGTTTAATAAAATTTGATTGTCCAAAACTTATAGACGTAATTTTTCTTTAAAAAAATATATATATTTCAATGCTGTCAGTTTACTAAATGTAACATGCACTTTTTAGGTGGCGAAAAATACAACAACTTGGCCTTACTACTGCATACAAGGATAAGGATTCAGAAGTTGGAAAATTTTTGAGAAACTGTTTTGGTTTGCCGTTTCTTAATTCAATAGATGTTGGAGACTGTTTTGCTATTGATTTAATTTCTTCTCAACTCAGCCATTCCAAACTTACATCATTCGCAGATTATCTTGTAGATACTTACATAACAGAATCGTCCAAATTTCCACCATACATATGGGCTGAAAATACAAGTAGTGTTAAGAGAACTACAAATGCCTGCGAAAGTTTTCATTCACGGTTTAATTCTGCATTTTACCATGCACATCCTCATATTTTTCAATTTATTTCGGTTTTAATAGATTTTCAAAGTGATACCTAAATAAAGATAAGGACAGCGCAACAAAATGAAACGAAAATATACTCTGCAAAAACTATAGAAAACAAACAATTTTTAGATGATAAGATATGGCAATTAAAAAATCATGATATAACAAACAAATCGATTTAAAATGTAGAAAACCTAATTTTGTAGTTTATGTAAATATAAAATAAATCACCCTTATTTTAGGTTTAAAAATATTTATAGCACTGTGAATGATTAATAAATACATTTTTTTATCAATATGGTTTACTTTATTACCATGTTCCCTAAAAAATAAACTAAAAAAAATAAAATAATTCAGGTACCTGAGATAATGAGCTTCGGACTCTACTCAACCATCTCCGGGACTCTACTCGGACATCATTCAAAGGGACCTAGAGAAGTCGGGACTCTACTCGAGATCACCGATTTTCTGAACTGCCCAAAAAAGCATTGCAGTAACGTACTGATTTCGGTTTTGACCGCCACACGTGTCTGAGAATAACGTAACGTGACGTACATATTTTGGGACACACTCCTTTAAGTAGTAATATATGCAACTTCCAATCTCGCAACTCCCCTTTTTTCCATTTACTTCGCTCCAACACATGCAATACGCATTATTAGGCAACGCGGATTCATTTATAACTAGATTATGCAGTAAAAACGATTTTTAATGCCTAGGCATTAAAAATTTTTTTTTTTCTTTCTTTTTTTTAAATCTTGCTTTGCATGAGTATCCGACCAAAAAAGTTACCCTAGTAAATTTAGTCACTGTATACTAAAATAAACTATATAAGGGACATTTTGGACCGGTTAAAAATAAGTTAAAAATAACGATATTTGTCGCGTTATTAGCGATGACTTTTACTGGTTCAAAATAAGTACATAATTATAAAGAGAAAGAAAAAATTCAGAAATTTATTATAATTTTAACTGTAACATTCATAATTAAATTAAAACAGAATATAATACAGAACATAACAAAAATGTAAGTATATGAAATTCTACATATAATAAATATTAATGATTATTGTGAATATTTATAGTAATTTGCGAACAATTTTTCAACATTACTCCACTGGCTTGATAATCCGTTCTGCCTTTTGTAATCATAGTATAATTATTTTTATTTGTGAACGAGTGCTACAACCGACGATATCTTGTTCTTTGGGATCCGAAAAAAGTCTTTCACTAACATTTGTTTTTGCAGGTATAGAGTCTTCAATATAACCTTCGGCTATTGTTGATGATCTCCGACCCCCAACGTGGTTATATCTACCCCAAAGTCCACCAACAATGTTGCAGAACTTCTGCGAAAACAATGCCCAGTAAATTCTTGTGTGTTCGGTAATTTTAAAAATGTTGCAATTTCTTCTGGCATTTTCCAAATTTATGGATACCAAGCGGTTGTTTGTATGTCTTACCATTATTGTACTTAAAAAAAATTAGGTAGCCAGCCAGCCTGATGGTCTACAATCTTCATATTTAAATGTTCCACTACAATAAATGAACGTAATTTTTTTTGTCTTCGTGTCAGAAAGAGTTATAAATCATTTTTCCCCCATATCTTCAATTTGAGCTTTTTCCATTCGGTATAGCTCATCACTTCTACATGTTCCCGCTATGCCAAAAATTAAAGCAACCTAAAATAAAAAAAAATGTTTATTTAATACTAAATTAAAAATTTATCATTTCTAAATTATTACCTTCGTAGATAAGTATATATTATCTAGAGCTTCCAACAAAAATTCCTGAATTTGTGATTTCTGCAGTACTCGGGATTTTTTGGCACGAAAAGCATCTGATTGACGCTTTAAAAAGGCTCGCAGTTTTAAATATTTGGATATATCTATAGTATTGTAAATATGCATTGTAGTCTTTAACATAGAATATGTAGACTATAAAGTCGAAGATTTCAATTTCTTGGCTAATTCTGCAAAATACGCCAGTAAAACGTCTGAAAAAGATCCGATTTTCTTGTTATTACGATTATCCATAAAATTTCTATAAAAAAAAGAAAAAATATAACATCCCCAAACTTATAGTTCTAACCGTTTCTACTTTCACACAAATTACACCTGGAGTCACTTGATTCACAACGACTTGAGAACACACCTATTTCTTTTGACATCTGTCATATTTGTGCCGACAGGTGCCACCGCTGTTACTTTAACCACCTAAAATATGACCAAAAATGACTTGACTGATTTTTGTCTTTGGCAGAATACAAAATCGGAAAGCAGTGTAGTGTAAATAACAAAAAATATAATATATATCAATTGTCATTCATGTACCTAAAAGGGTATCATATTCAACAGGTTTACATAATATATGTAGTGTACCATATTACATATGAATACCAGTTTCATTTAAACAAGGCAAAATTAAATTTAAACAAAGAATAAATATCTATTACAAAAGCATAAAATGACAGAAATATAATTTTATTATTAATAAAAAAAGCATTTTTGCATGTGATAGTAAATTGTGATTTATCAGTAATTCCAAAATATTTAGTAAAATGTTAGTATAGTATGAGAGCCCACTGTAAATTTCGACCGTCATCTGATAAAGAAATGAAATATGCTCCAAAGGCATGTAACAACATTGTACCAAATTGCACCTGTGTCAATCCCTATCCTGAGCAAAGTGGTTAAAAAAATTATTTATATTTATAAAATCACATAAAACATGACAGCGACAATTATGTTTTCTCTGAAAATAACAATCCTAATTCATTGTGAACCTAGGCTTTTAAACCTGAATTATTATTTTTACCTACCTTTTAAACCATGTTTATGTATGAACGGAAGAAGGATTGCAGAGATAGTCAATAATAATTATAAACTCTTGTTAGAAAATTATTTTAAACCATAATCATAGTCATAATCATAACCATAATCAGTAGTTTTTTTTGTCGTTTCTATGGCAACCTATAAAAATGAATCACAACAATAGGCATACAAATAAATTTTTAAATCAGCAAACATTGATTCATATTTTTAATGATATTTACCTACTAATCGTGGATAGATATTTTTGTGCGATGTTAAGAGGAAGAAAATGTTTCCCTTTAACGATATATATCAAGATATATTTAAATGTTATTTTCTGGAAAACTTTAAGGGCAAACAAAATTAGCGCTGTCATGCTTTATGTGATTTTTTTAATATAAAATAATTTTTTTAATCCAATTTGCTCAGGATTTGGATTGGCACAGGTGCCATTTGGTAAAGTACAATGTTTTTCCATGCTTTTGGGGTATATTTCATTTCGTTATCAGATGACGGTAAAAATTTGCAGTGGGCTCTTGGGCTAGTAGTTAAGAAAGCGTTATATAATACTCGTCTGCGACTCGGGAAATTTTCAAAATATTCATGAGCTCGAAAAAATTTCCTGAAATAATTTGACCTCTAGTGGTATTACTAGTGAAAATAGTAAGATGATTCCGGATAAAAAAGCTTTAATAAAAATGAATTGTAAACAAGTAACAAAGCATTATATAAATGTTACGATTAAAGATTTACATTCTCAATTTTGTTCCCAAAGTACGTACCGTGTTAGCTACTCAACTTTCGCAAAATTATGCCCAAAATATGGTATTGAACCGAAAGTTACTAATCGAAATACGTGTGCGTGCTTCACTCATGAAAATTTTTCTTTGTTAACACAAGCTTTTCACAGTCATAAGTTATTGACAGAAAATACGTCATATAAAATTTTGAGCAGTTTCTTATGTGACAGTATTTCTGAACTATGTCTATCAAGAAAGTGTGATATATGTAAGTTATAAAAATTAGAATTTAATTTGAAAGACACTAATCTTATTGATAAAATATCTTACATGAAATAGGAAGTATCTTCAGAACAAAAAATTAATGAAAAAACATAAAAAACCAATAACTATTAAAATTACTGCAAAAAAAAATTTCTTGTACGATGGGGCAAGCAATTAACCATTTTATACACGAGCTAGATTTGTTTATAGCTCATAAATACAGAATTACTCATCAAAACAACTCCATTAAAAAACTTATTCAGTCTCTACAAAGCAATGAGTAAGGACTCCTCATTAACTTCAGTGAAAATTATTCTTGTAAGTAATTATGAAACAGAAGTTCAGTCAGTACACTTTGGGGCTAGTAGAGTACAATGTACTTTACACATTGGCATGGTCTACTCTTTAAAATCTTATTAAGGATTTGCTACTTTGTCAAAATCGCTCAGACATGATCGTTCTGCTATTATTGTTAATATAAAAAAATACTTGACGTTTTTCTAGCAACAATTTCAGAGATAAATAAATTACATATATTGAGTGATGGTCCATTGACGCAGTACCGCAATAAAAAAATGTTTTGTCTCATAACTCAATACTTAGCTCAGTGATATACTCAATTAGAGGATATTACATATAACTTTAGTGAGGCTGGCCATGGAAAAAGTTCAGCGGATGGGATTGGCGGCTATATAAAGAAATTAGCTGACGGTCAAGTGAAATACGGCTTGGATGTAACAAATTTTGATTCCTTGCTGGCGATTTTGTGAAATCGTGTTAAATCTGTATACATTTATTGCATTACAGAAGACGAAATATCAAACATTGATTCAATATTACCAAGCAATTTTAAGCCTTTCATTGGTACTATGAAAATACATCAATATACGTGGAATAAATTACAACAAAATTGTATTTTATTTAATTCATTAAGTTGTTTTGATTGTTCTAATAAAAGTCCATGCATACACTTTGCTATGGGAAAAATTGATTACTCTGTGAATGATACAGCCGGAAAATGAACAAAAGATTGATAGCAAAAACACAAAAAACGGAAAATTCGTCATCAAAATTAACTAAAAATTTAAAATGCCTTGAAAAAGATGTTGCTAAAGTTAATTTAGAAATAAGCTTAAACAATAATAAATGGAAAATACTAGTATTGTTGTAAAAAAAGCGTCAGGCGTTCGATGTACGAGAAATATGGACATTGTAAGTTGAAATTGCTGAAAAAAAAATTTTTTTTTTTTCAGCCGTGGGGATTAGAACCTACGATCGGTGAGTCTGGCAATCGAAAACCCGCGCCTTAGACCGCTTGGCCAACGAAGGAACTTGATTTAGTGGGATATACTGACAGTAATAAGCCACTTGAGTCCAAAGGAGAGTTACAAATATACATACAGGTGAAGCTAATATAAGCGTGTTAAAAAAGGAAACCATATCACTCCGTAGAAGTACAAGAATTAAAAGAAACTGATGAAAACCAAAAACAATAAATTAATTAATTTAATATTTTTTAATTTAATTATTTAATTTAACATATTTTAATTTATTTATTTTCAGTTAAATACAATAAGTTAGATTATTATCAATTAGTAGTTGCTATAAATTATAAAGTTAATTGATATAATTGTTATTATTCATTAATAATGTGTTAAATAATCAATATAAAAGAATTTAAAAACGTTGTAATAGAACTCAATAATAAATTTAATTATTGTTCTAAAGAATATCTACCAAATTTATTTTATGTCAGTACCGTGGATAAATAAGTCAGTACCGTGTTTCTCATTCTTGACGATTTTAAGTTGTATCCTCTCAGGCTTTTA